GTTTACCTCACATTCGATATTTTCATATTTCTGGAGAAGATGTTTTCAAGAAAGTGCGACCATATAAGCAGATTTTGCCAAAAAATATTTGGGAAGACGTGGTACAGAAATTATTGATTCCTAATGAGCCGGTTGAATCTTTGATCATACCGCCTAGAGAGATTCGAGCAATTAAGTCACAACATGGAAAAGTATTACCGGACGAACGGAACATGTCGAATAATAATTCATCCAACCCAAATTCATTCCAAGAGAAAAAACCCGAGATTACTCCTGATTTAAGGACTCTTTCAACCCTTATGACATATAAATACGCAGCTGAGATTACTTCTTGGATTGATTACCGTTCAAAACCATATGAAATTGAAGAAATTCCATACGAATTTCGTCTACTTATTCGTGGAAGTCAGTCTGGATTCGACCATAAAATGTTTTGGAATAAATGCGGTGGACATGACCATACAGTGTTATTGATGAGAATTCAAGGAACTAACGAGATTATCGGAGGGTATAATCCGCTTGAATGGTCGATGAAACAAAATGGGTATATGAAAACTGAAAACAGTTTTATTTTTTCGCTTAACAATGGTAACCAGGAATCTATAGTCAGCCGAGTAAGAAAAGACAAGGTTGATGAGGCCATCTATATTTGTCGTTCACTTGGTCCAAAATTTGGTGCACAAGATATTTTTATGGGAAAAACCTTCAACAGTGTAAAAAAAAATGGACAGTGTAAGTGTAAATTTAAAAATTACCAAGTGAGAATTAGGAATACAACAGAAAAATTTTCGATCAACGAATATGAAGTATTTCAAGTTTTTAGAAAATCCGACATAGCTCTTTCCAGCAGTCAATAATTTAAAGCTGATCTGTGTAGAGAATTTATACGACACTGTATTTTTCGATCACCTTGGAAAAGTATTAAATATTTGTAAATAAACTATTTTGTATAACAAATATATTGTTTGTGATTGGGGAAGGAAGATATTGACGTGACATCTAATCTAAAATACAGTGGTATTATTTATTTTCCGTGCGCATCCTGATCATACTGTATATTACACAGCAACGGCCACCATGTCTTTAGTAGAAATTTTAATTTTTAATGAAAACAGAAAAGAGTCTTTACTTTCGAATGCGATTGAATCTTTTTATCTCATTCAATAGAGTGATGTGCCTCCAAGTCTGCTTCTTCTAGTTGCAAATTGTCTCTTTTAAGAAGTGATGCCAGCGCATTTTTCGATAATAAAGTGTATTTCTAAGAACCAAAGATCATTTGGGGATAATATCGTTATAAGATTGTTTCAGGGGCGACTCATCAACTTTCAATAACGACATCATACAGATTGTTACTATATTCGAGAATATTTCGAGGTAACACGGAATAACCTTTCATAAAATTTACTTGTGATTTCCTGAATGCAAGATAAGAGATCGAAGGGAAAGACAAATGCCTGATGTGTACTGTATAAATCGTTGTCATCTGTGATTCGAATTTTTAGAGGACGGTTTGATTTTGATATTTTAAATCAAACTTTGCGAGCCATATAAAAAAAAGCGAATGATCTAATATAAATGCCAATATTTAATATGATCCTTTCAAGTTATCACTTTGTATTTTCAAAATACAATATATATATATTAAATCATCGCTTTCTTAAATCAATTTTATTCTATTTCACCTTTCCATCATAATTCCAACACTATCTGATTACAAATAATGTGATAAATCAATAATGCACTTGATATTATCATTGATTAAATATAAACTTATTAATTTACTTTGCAAGATTTTTATATACAAAAACATGAATTTTTTTTTAAAAAAAAATTTTCACGCTTGTTTTTAGTCAACACTTATTAATACAATTTTTTTTTATATAGCATGCATATACTGTATATACTGTATATAATTGATTGAAAAATTATTTTGAATTAACATTTTCAAAATATGCAAAATATGTGTATAATTATACCATTGTATTTGAATACATAAACATAAATAATGGCATACATATTTTTAAAAAGCTATGTTATTTGATTTTACATAAGATTAGATAAATCAGCTATTACATTAATGAGATATTTTTTTGAATAAGATAATTGAAAATTCCAAATGAATAAATAGAATTGAGTGATATAATTGAATAAATAAAATTGAATAATAGAATTGAATATCATGTTTAATGAAAATTGTTATTTGTTAAAATAAATATATCAAGTTTTATTTAAAATTTAAAATTTATAAAAGTTAATCATTATATTCACAAATACTGTAGATATACAGTATACAGTATATTTAAAAAGTATTTTTCATGCAGATGACTATGAATTAGATGTTTGGTAGATTGAGATGTCAAAATTATAATTGTTCCAATTATGATTTCAAGTTTGGAAATGATTTTTATGGCTACTGTAAATTGTAAATTGTTTATTTTTCATTTTGTATAAATTTTGTATAAATTTTGTATAAATTTTGCATCTCTAATATTTTTGTGATTATGCAGTTAATTATTTAAAATATTTTATTATACAATTACTTTATATACTGTATCAATGAATTATAAATAAATACACGCGGTTAATTCTCGAGAATCTAGGCATTAAATATATTGATTGTCTTTTAATGTGTTTAAATATGAATTCCGGTTCACAACTTGATAAACTTTATTTCGCGGGGAAACTTGTAAATGATATGATGTACGGATAGATAGATACGATTAAGTAAGATGATAACCGCCTCCTAGAATTGTCTGAATTATAAATAGTATATATATAAGGCAAACCAAACATGGGTTTACAGACGAAATCCCAGGAAAAAAAATCAACAAAAGAGCAGCATCAAAAGTTTAAGCGGCTCTCTCCGATGTTTCTATACCTTCAGCGAAGAAGATGATTAGGTTGCCAGAATATCTACGCAGAATTATTCATCATCATCATTATTATTGTATTTTACCACTCACCATTACTCAATAAAACTTGATTTCTAGATTTTCTTTCCTATTCACACTACTTCTGCTCTTTGAAACCAATCCCTCACCACAATCCGTCCCTTCAATGTCAAGTTCAACCAATTTAGGGAAATTTGCTTCGCTTATCTCTTCGCGCACATTTTCAGATAAATGCTTGCACCCGTACATGATCAAAACTTCTAAATTTTTACAGTCGTATTTCAGTGTATTAATCGAATTGCACTTTGAGAAATCAACTCGGCGAAAATGAATCAGCCTCAAGGTTTGCGAGTGTTGTTCAAGCGCCGAAATGATAGCATTTGAGCACTTTCCCCGCTTCATTGTGAAGGACGTGAGGGATTTTTGCGAGGAGATCAGTCGGGCAACTTGAAGATCCCAACTCCAATAATGTTGATTTATTGTCATGTCCACTCTAAGAACCCTCTGTTATCTCGACGAGGAAAGTAAATCAATCATGGATAAAGTAGTAATGACATAGCAAATAGAGTATGAACGAACGATCACACATAATTACCACATAGCGAACATTCTCGCACAATAGTTTCAAGCAATCCTCGTTGATGATCTTTCTGACATCGAGACAAAGCTTTCTCACAGGAGAGATCAAACCTCGAGTGGTCTTGTCTTGTAACAACAGCCACAGCTCATGATGCATATTATCAATGTACAATCTCCGATCCATGTGGAGTTGCTGCAGGGTCTTGCAATGACTCGCAAGTATCACGAAAAGACCTCGCAACAAGGCGTTGTAAGGAATTGCAATTGGTTGAGGGCACTCTTGAAGACACCAATTAAATATTGCAGAGGTGAATTCTTGTAAATTGAGAACACGGAGAAAAGAAGGATAACAAAATGTCATAAATGTTTTATTAGGAATGTTATGGAATGGGACACCTTTTGAACCTAATTCTTTTCGTTCTTCCGATGTAAAAAAGGACATAAATGTGTTTATGACACTTGGGGATGGGATGATATTTGACCAAAGAATTGGCATTGCCGTCACGCACCAACGCTTGTTGACTTGAATACATGTGTAAAGATCCTCCAACATTTCTGCTCGGTCATTTATTCCATCTTCATAGATAATTTTGAAGACATGCCGCAAAACTTCAGATGGTAACTTCTCACACATACCACCGTGTTTGTCTTTTCACGGGGATAGAGAACGATCAAGATAAGTATGCACACTGGACACAATGATTTTCATAATTCTAAATAGGCTTAAAGCACTTGAACAAATTACCACTCATAAGACTATTATTAAAAAAAAATTTTTTTTTTTTGGATGAAGCGTGGTGGTCACTTGAAATATCGTAATTTAAGAAGAGATATTAGTAACCGTTGAAAGTACACTAAGCAAATCCTTTATTGACAAAAAAATCTAACCACACCGTCACAATTCAATCGAAGGTTATTAAAGGGAAAAGGAATGTGTCAAAGAGCGCTTTTTCGTAAATTCAAATTCGGGCGAGTCTCTTACAAAGGCAAATTTATACGCAATGAAGATCATGGATACACAAGTTGATTTACGTAATTTCATCATATGCAGAAGCTGCGCCAGAAATACGTAATATTAGACGAAATTGGTGTTCTTGTTACTTCAATTTCTGGATGATCACTCCTATTTAGTATAAATAATACAGTGTGTGTATAATATGTGCTGCGTGGTGGTAACGTGGGGGTAGAAGCGTAAAGGGAAGTCAAGAGGCATGTAGATCCAAGTTCAATGTTAGGCCTTTTGGGAACCGATTGAAAAGTTCATTATAACAAATATTTTTTCGGAGGTTGATTTTAGGGAGATAGACTAAATTTGGCAATGTTCCAGATGTCCGCCAATGCGAAATAACACGTGATACCATAACACGCTACTCACATGGGACATGATTATCAACGATTGATAGGAATCGCGTGTGGTTTTACTGTTTAAATAAATCTATTTTATTTCTTAACATGTTTCGTTTGTTAATTTAATTTACAGTTATACTTGTCTAGTGACTTCCACCAAAATCACTGCGCATTCGGAATTTTTAATCCTAGTTTGTTAAAAACTTTAAAAACTTCGTACTCTTCCACCGAAAACTGCGCCTTCGAACTTCTAATGGGTCTTTCGTATCCTTTGTGATGCATACAAGCACACGATTTGTCCTCTTTGAAGTTGTCTTTCATTCTAAGTACCCCTCCGCCAAAATTCGGTCCATTCCCGTCAAAGTAGGATTCAAATATTGCTTGATCCGGATGTGTCACACGACTCAAGATAGAATGATCGTTCTCAAATGAAAAAACAAAACTCTCACTTGTTTTACTCCATCCCCTGTATTGCTGCTTATCCCACGGGTTGGGATTATACCCTCCAAGGATTTCCCCGGTACCATTGATTTTCAACACAACTACCGTGTTCGTTTGTTGATTGCATGCCTTGTAAAACGCTTTCGGTGTGAACCCATCGCGACTTCCGCGAACTATCAATTTAAATTCATATGGATTACTCTCCGTATGATATGCCGTAGGGCGACGGTCAATCCAGGAAGAAATTTCTGCGAAATTCTCATTTGTCAGGAGGATTGAGAAAGGAGATAATGACAAGCCCGAAATTTCGTGTGCAAGTTGTTCGGTGTGCTTTTCATTGCATGGCTCTGAAACTTTGACGGGATGGGGAATGTCAAGTGTGAGTTCTCGTGGTTTTACCAAGGGTAATGGAGCTGATGATGTTTGAACTGGAGCCATGTAACGTTGCATCATGTCAACCCAGATACTTTGATCCAAAATTTTCTGATAAGGTCGAACCTTGTGATAAATGTCATCCCCTGTGATTTTTGAATACCGAATCAAGGGCAAACAATTTTTCAGAGTATTTTTTAAAATAAGGAATTCTCTATCTGTCCATTCCTCAATGGCCGGTGGTAAGTTTGGATTTTGAAAAATTCCCCATTTAACGGTGTACTCGAAAACACTTGATTCCTCCAACTCCAGATCATTCCGTCCTAGTATGGATACCAAGACATTCTCTGGCAGAGAAGTAAAATCTCTAGTGTTGAATATCAAATCTGGATATTTCTCCAGGATCTCGGCACAAAATTGAATCAAGCTGGAAAAATTATTTTTATGACTCAGGCGATATACAAGAGAGAAATTCAAACATAACCAATTGGCTTTGCTCTCCGTTAAATATGGCTCAATGTGTTTGACCAATTCGTCGAGAGAAAATTCGTTTGCTGCAATCAAGAGACCAAAAACCGTCGAAGATTTTAAATTCTCTAGAGAAATGAAACCTCCGTATATGTATCTGATGGAAAATGAATACAGTATATTTCGTAATTATTCGTGGTGCTCATGAGATATTTTTCAAAATGCTGCTGCTTACTTAATAATGATGGCAAAACTTTCAACTGAAATGTTGTCAAGCCTGATTTCCTTAACATCTCGGGAATTCATTGGTATATCGGTCAGTTTACGTCGAAAAAATGGTGATCGTTGATATAGAATGGCCGAGTGAGCTTGGAACGATTGAACATTTTGATGTTCTCCAACTTTAATGATGACGTTATGATCATATCCATTCTCGAGAAGCCCCGTAAGGTCATTTGAAAGTCGTTCGTGAAAGTTTGTTGTCATTTTTATTTAATCAAAAAAGAAAACAATATTTGCAAACCGCTGAATATTGTACATCGATAGACACAAAAAAAAAGATTACTGTTACGTTATGCATCGGTATGCACAGAACTTTACATACTCACATATCCCGAGTCGGTAAACAGGTATTTTTCCGGTTTGATCATATAATCATGAGAATTGAATGCACATCTCTCAGGTAGGAACTGGGCTGTCCGATCTTACGACCTCATGTGATTCCGAATATTAAAAATACAATGATACTGTACTGTAAAATTTATATTTTTGCTTAACTCGTATACTGTAATAATAATTTTTTCCTGAAAAATCCGACAATTATTATCATAATACAGTAGTTTTATTAATAATATTATACCATATATATGCATGTTTGTTTTTAAATTTTTAAATCATAACGAAGATTGTATATATTTATTTTTGATATTTCATTATATTCATAAAGAGTGGGATCCTTTACTGTGTATTGCATTGATTTTTTTTAAAAAAAAAAATCATAAACACGAATATTTTCTTTAATTTTAATAAAACCTGGTTTTATGATATAAAAAATAATTACAAAACTTTATATTTTTCAATTAACAAATTATTTATTTTATTTATTTGTTAAATAATAAATAATTCATGTTAAATAATAAATTTTATTTATATTAAGACGAAAATGAAAGCACATGATAATTATAATTACGATAATTAATTTGATTAATCAATGGATTTTTAATATATTAATAAATTATAATATCAATCAATCAACTAATAATATTGTTATTATTTAAAAAAGATTATAAATAAAATAAAAAAATATTGAAATGTTTATTTTGATTTGATGATATATAAAAAAAAATTGTTGTACATTTAGTTGGCAAAAAGTTACAGAATACAATCATATAATTTTGTTATATACTTTAATTTTTCAAGTTAGACTAGTTATTTAAAAAATATAATTACAAAATTTTAAATAACCTATTTTATAATTTGTTAAAATTTATTAAAATTTATTTTGTTACAATAATTTATCATTTTTTTTTTTAGCACTGCTATACTCTTTAATATAAAGAAAGAAAGAATTAGAGATTTTGAAAAAAAAAATAATGTTTTGAGTTGTTGAAAAAGTGTAAATTTAATTAATAAACTTACTTTTTCAAGTATACAGTGTATTATTTTTTTAAAAAAATAATTCTAATTCTAAAAAAGATGTGGCTACGGTTTATCAAAAAAGCACCAGTGCCAAGAAAAAAAGACAAGTTTATTAGTAAAAAAAATCATTAAAACCTTAATTTCAACATCCTATAAAAATTCAATATTTATTTGTTATTCTAAAATCAAATGGTTATTTATTATTCCAAAATGAATTACAATTGATATAATGAAATAAATAAAAATTATTTCACATAAATTTTGAATTATCAAATTCAAATATAAATATAAATACAATTTTTTTAAATATATAATATTAATAGCAAATAGTTAAAAATAATAAAATGTGCAATATCCAATGATTATTTACGTGTAGAATTTTTTCCTTTTTTTTTTTTATGCAACAAATATTTAATATGACTTTAATTTGGCAAAATTATATTTATTAATAGTACAGCAATAGGATTTAATTATATAGTATCTGACAGTAAATAAGTTTAATATAATATACAGTATATTATTGATAATGTTATAAACAATTCCAAATATTATTAAATCCTTCTTATGTTTACATCATATAATAGATGATATATTTCATAAGTATCCCTAAAGAAAATATTACTAAATCTCAAAATTAATTTCCAAGTCTTTTTGTATAGATTTATAATTAATATGGGTAATTATTTTCGAAAATGGACCAGAAATTTTCTGGCATGATTCTAAAATTTATATTATATATGTATTGTTTAAAAGTTGGATCTGAAATAATTATATCTAGCATTTTTGTTGCCTTCAAAAATAATTACCCATATCTACATATGTTAAATTGATTATTAGTCAAACTCTATATAACATCATTTATAATATAGCTACTATTTAACTGATATATTTTTATTTGCTGTTATTTTTATAAATTACATGTTATTTTTTATAAATTACATAAAATT